GAGCAAAGCAAAGCAAAGCAAAGCTGGAGAGGCCCCAGGGCCCAGGGCCAGGCATGTCTCCTGGGTGTGTGCAGTGCGCCCTCACTGCTTCGTTTGTGATCTGCAGCTTTGTCTTGGCGTGTTTGGTGTTACGTGTGTTGCTGCCTGCCGTGGGCGGCTAGTTTGCGCTTAACTCATGTTGTTGTTTTCACACCGGTTGGTCACAGTGGCGAGAGGAGTCTAGCTAGCCTAGACGATTGTAACAGAGCAAAGCAAGAAGCTGGAGCCGTCTCCCGATGAGTCTTGCAGCTGCAGACGCGGAAACAAATCATCATCATGGAGCCCTGTATCCGCCGCCTGCGGCGCGGGGGTGACGGGGCCCCCGGCAAAACACCTCTGCACCGTCATGCCCTTGCTATCATGGGCGCCGGCAGGGGGGCGAGGGCGCACGGATGCTGCGCTACCGTCGCCGCAGGCGATCAAACCTGCGGCCCGCCTGTGCGCTGGAGAGGCCAGGCATGTCTCCTGTGTGTGTGCAGTGCGCCCTCATTGCTCTGTTTGTAGATCTGCAGCTTCATCTTGGCTTGTTTGGTGTTACGTGTGTTGCCGCCTGCCTTGGGATCCGTTGGAAGGTGAGGAATGAGGAGGTCCGCTCTGATGTGCGCAAGGCCGATGGCAGTGATGCTATAGCATGATTAAATTACCATTCTATCTGTGTGGCCTATGTCTTGCTGCACCGCCAGCCCGAGGTTGGGCAACAGCAACAGTGACGGGTTTCATCCGCGCCAAGGGTTTACGGCGCCAATAAACCAAGAATCTTAGGGAACCATGCAAGTCAAAGCTCAGCTTCAGTAGAAGCAAAGCTCAAAGCAGCAATGCACAAAGTCAGCCACGCGATGCTGCGGTGGCTGTCGCGCAAAATGATTGCCCGCAAGGGAGCACCGGGGTCTGCGGTCGCATCAAACAGCCACTGCAGCGGTGGCGCCGGCAGCGGCGTCTCCGGCGGCAATGGCGAAAGGGGCGGCGACGCCACCGCCGGCGCAGCGGCTACCGGTCGCGGCTGGGTGGCTCCACAAACAGCGGGGTCGTGTGCCACGCGTTGTTGGCCAGTCCTCGGAAGTTCCACACCGCCGCCACAGAGCCCTGCCGGCGGGGCGGCAGGAAACGCCAAGAGAGTGGCGGGTGAGAGCATGCCGCGGCAACAGCCGCCAACCAGCATTCAGCAGACAGGAGACGTACCTTGTCACCACCACCACCACCACCACCACCAGCATAGCAGCAGCAGCTGCAGCAGCAGCTGCCAGCATGGGGGTCAGTGCTAGCGTGTTGCTGGGCGGCAAGGTCACTTCAGACTGGAGGCCCAACGGTGCCTTGTGTGGCTGCAGGCGTGCAAGCGTTATCGCAAGCCGAGGGGACAGACACGCCCCGTTTGCCGCCCCTCAATCTTGCAACCCCGCGCACACTTGCCGTGCGCGTCAAGAGGTAGGGCGGTGCGGCGGCACGCGCCACCTGCCACCCGCCGCACCTGGCGCTCTCCCCCCGCCAAACCCCGCCAAATCCCACCGAGACCCACCCACACCCCGCCCGACCCCGCCCCGCCCCGACGCTCGCTGCCGCCACGCACCGGCTGGGAGTCGCAGTTGCAGTTGATGGCCTTGACCGCCAGCCGCCACTTGCCGCCGCGCGCGCGGATGGCATGCGGCACCTGGGGCGTGGCGAGCGCACGCAAGCAAGCACAAACTTGATCATGTCGCTCGCGCGGACGAAACCGAGCCCCCACGCGCGCCTGCTGCGCATGCAGGATGTGCGCTGCGGGGTTCAAAATGCGGCCCGACGGCGCGGACAGTCACGAGCCCAGCCACAGCTGCCAGTGATTGACCCCTCAAAACCTCCTTGGAGGCGGCAGGAGTGTGTCGGGCAAATCAGGAAAACCAGGGCCAACCAGGGGGCCAGGAGGGGTGGGGGCCAGGAGGGGGAGCCTCGCGTACCTCTATTGGCACTTGAAACTTGGTCCAGGCCCAAGCCTTGCCGCCCGGGCCGAGGTGGGTCTCCGTGAGGTCTGCCAGCACCCAGGTGGCGCCGTTGTCGGCGCTCACGTCCACGCTGCGTGGGGCGGCGGCGGCGGCGTTTGTCGACGCGGGTGTGGCGGCGGCGAGGGGTTGCCAGGGGGACCAGGGGTGGCGGTGCGCGGGGGAGGGTTGGTACGGGGACGCGTTTGACAGCCTTGCAGCGGGGCACTGTCCTGTCCCTTGGTGCAATGCACGTGCTTAGTCCCGGGTGCAAGTCCGGAGCGACTGGGGCCTGCTCTCAAGCCAGCCAGCAAAACGATCAAAAATGCATGGCAAACATGGCAGCAACAGTTCTGCGTGCTGCAGGTGCGCACGAAACATCCAGGCATCGACGCTTCCTCGTCTCTGCGTCAACCTCCACCCCTGGCGCTGGTACGTGCGGGCACACGCGCATGCGAAAGAGCACACACACCGGATGATGGGCGAGCCGCCGCCGCTCCAGGCGTAGCCGCGCACCCACACCGCCCGTGTGCCGCGCGGCACGATGCTGCCGGGCTCGGGCTCCAGGATCGCACTCTGGATGAAGGGCGGGTCGCACACACGGGCGGGCGTCTTTGGCAGCTGTTATCGCATCGGCGGGGCAAGCATGTCCTTGTGTTTTGATCGCGTTCTGGCTGGCATCAGCAAGGGTCCATGCCTGGTGAAAGAACGAAGCGCTGAACGCCCCCGCGCGGGCCTCGCCCCCGGGTGCCGCCCGCGTCGCCAAGGCTCTCCCTGCGTGCACCCGCCCCTCGCGGCCCAACACGGCAACACCCGCTTGCACCAAGCGCGGCAGCCGCGCTTGCACGGCTGGGCGGGGCTGATGGGGATGTCAGAAGGCGTGAGTGGCAAGGTTGTCGCCCATCAACCCTCATGCGGAGACTGGGGGCTTGCCTGGACGGGCATGTTCATGATGGGCGGCATGGAGGGGGCGTTTGGCATCCAGGCCGAGACCGTGTGGTACACGTGGGGCATGAGCTTGTAGTCCACCTGGCGGTGACGTCATCAATGGAGGGGGGTATGGGGGAGTGGGTGGCCGTGGAGCGTAGGATTATGC